TAATGATTTAAAATTTTGATCCTTATCGTTAATAGAATAAGTTTTTTATTGAAAATAAAAAATATTGGGGAGCTCAAAAGACAAGTGCAAATACTTAACATCTTTCAGCCTTTGCTCATATGGAACAGAACAAATTCAACTGTTCTATCAATAATTTCTTCGTTTGATTCAATACCATATCAACGAAGACCTAAAACTGGTGAATTCGAGGATATTTAACTGATAATTTTGGTTATAATCCTTTCGTCGATACTTTCGTATTATTCTTAATTGTTTTCAAAGGTCGGTGGAATCTGCTATTTCTTATTAGATGTTTATTATTTTTTATTGATTTTTGACAATAACATTGATAAATAACATAGGTTGATTATAATAAATAGAATCATTACGATCATTAACAAAATAGCATCGAGGATGAGAAATACATCATAATTTGCATATTCAAAATTTTAACTAAAATTTGTATAATTATAGTTGTGTACTATTACGATTACTTTCTAATTACGTTGAGGGTGATAATTGAGAAAGCCCTAAATAAAGTCTCGGATTTTTGAGATTATTTAACTCCTCTTTCAGTACAAACAACCTTCGGCTTCGTCTCGAGTATAATAAATAAACTCGAATATTTGTGGATCATGAAAAATCGTAAAAATTTAATCAAATTATTAGTGGTAGTTTTTTTTTTTTTTTTGTTTGAAATTTTTATATCACAATAAATCAAACATAAAATGACTTAGTTAATTCAACGTAAAAAATTTCTTATATAAAATGGCATCACAAAAAGTCTCTGTTAAATTTAAAATCAAAGAAAAAAAAAAATGGTTTGCCTTATAAACTATCTTTCACTAACATCCCTGATTCTTATTTATCTAATCGCGTACTCTGTTGTGTCAGCCGATCTGTCGTCGTTAGAATTTGAACATGATGACACCCTTTTAAATTCTGACAATATTCCACAAACCACAGCAGACATGAAAGAAGATATCCCGAAATACACGGTAGAAAGAATCAGATATGAAAATCTTCCTAAAAAAGGTTATATCTACCAATTGGAGCCTATTTCATCGGATACTTCAACAGATTCTGATGAAACAAATGATATTAATGTCGATTCTACAAATGATGAAGTAGACGCATCTCTTGTTATTGTGCCATTCCGAAGAATAGGATTTGGTGGTCGTTTCTATGGCTTACGTAGAGGACTCTTTTACCGGCGTCGTTATTGGCCATATGGCATATATGGTGGATTTATTGGACGCAGATATTATAGAATTTGTTATCCGACTGCACTTGGGATGTTTATATGTGGTTATGCTTTCATTTAATTTTAACTTCAAAGTGTAATGAGGAATAATAAGAATTTATTTAGGAAATAATTTCATGTAAATGGTGGTTAATAAAGAATAATAATCGCTTGAAAATTATTATTACCTAAGCTTATATTTTTATAACTTTTTATCGTATAATCTCATGCAATAATATCGTGTATGCCAATATGTACGAAACTATCACTGGTCAAAAAAATTATTTTTACTAGGAAATATATTGTAAAATATAGTATAAATCTTTACTTAATTACTGGGTAATAGACAATATTTAATAATATATTATCTAGTTAAAAATATCACTTTTTACTAGTACGTATACAGTATATTGTTATGTACTTGTAATTTTAATTGCATTTGTTTTAAATTTAATTATAATCTTTGAAAATTTTTCATTGAAATGTGGATAATATAATAAACAAGAAATAGATTATAAATCCCCGAAGAATGTGCCTAACTAAATATGCCAAATCCCAACGCGACAATGCGTTGTAGTATTGAGAAAATAATATCTACTGGAATGTTATTCCTACATAACCAAGCCACAAATATGCCTATTCCAACTCCTCTACTGAAACCGATCATTCGAAATATAGTCATTAAAGCCGTTCGAGTCAATATCGGACCTGCAAGACTTATTATAGCACTAATAATAAACGGTTTTATGACATTCATTCTTATTTCAAATGAAAAGAATATTTTTATAATAAGTTTATGAACCATTTTAAACTTGATTGTTATCCTTTAAACATACCTTTTTGAATAAATGACTTAGTTAAAGTATTAGAACTCATCGTTTTTGCCATATTTATACTCTTGGATTACTCATGTGATTACACTTAGTATTGATATTTATGAAAGTCTATTTTATTATGAAATTTTTTTTTCTATATCAGCCTTCCATCATTAGTTTATTATATGATGGCGATAGTTCGATGATTTGTTTAATTAAGTGATCAGAAATAATCTTCCTCGATGTGATTAAATAGTGATTGAAATGACGCACAATAATTACGATCGATATTATTTTACAATTGACTAATGCCATCATGTCTTTAACAAATCATAAAAAAAAAAAAGAAAAAAAAAAAAAAAGAGTAACAAAAAAATGTTATCATCCTCAACTATTCCAAACTTACTTTCCTGTTACATCTTTCACTACCCCAAACGTTTCTATTTGGTGCTCCGATCGGGTGGCCGATATACTATTTAAATCACAACTAAAGATTTTCAATTTTCCTTATGAACTAAGTTAAAATATAGTAGTTCTTCGCGAATTTTAAATAGATGCATAGCACTAACGGTTCGACATTTTAAGATAATGTCTCTACAAACGAAGCAATAGAGCCATTTCTTATTTAAACTTTAAAAGGTAGGTTAAAATTTTTTCAAGTTTAAATAAAAGAAATGGCTCTATTGCTTCATTTGTAGAGATATATTGTTCGTTACAAAATTTTGTCTTAAATTATCGAACCATTACGTAGTACAATGCATCTATTTAAAATTCGCGAATAATAGATTTAAATAGTATATCGTCCACTACAATGACCCAATTGGGTTGGGTTCCAACTAGGTAGGGTTGGGGGCATGGTGTTCCAAGGCATGCCTCAGGGACATGCCCAAGGAGGCATGCCTAGGGCAGTGTTGTACTGGAAAGTCATTGGAAGGTCACTGGAAGTAAAATTAAATAGTGCCACTGGAACTTTTACTATTACAAAATCTCACTGGAAGGCCAGAAATTCCCACTGGAAGCCAAAATATACAACACTGGCCTAGGACATGCCCTATTCTTTTATATAGAAAAACCTCACATATGAAGTTTTGTTGATTTGATTGGTCAATTACATATCATAGTTGATTTGACATAATCAATTATGATATCTAGAGAGGGCATGCCCAGGGCACAGAGAGGCATGCCCTCGACAAAGGCATGCCCTCTAGGCATGCCCAAAAAATTTTCCGTGCCCCAACCCTAGTTCCAACCCGATCGGAGCACTACTTCTATTGCTCATGTTATTCCTTTCATATGATATTGCAAAAACAATATTTCACTGCACAGCTCTTTAACTCTTTAGCATTAGAACATGGCGAGATATTAATTTTGGTGATTTTTATTAAATAATTTACATAAAAAAATAGAGATTGAATTTATAGCACCATTAAAAATTAATACAGTTGTTGCTTTTTTACAAACTATTGTAATATAATATATAAAATAAATTACATATATAATAGCACTTCAAGAATATTCTTTTTAAAATAATTTTATTAAAAGACAACATCAATTAAAAAAATAAATTATCTAAGGTAATTCGGTGAGCGTGGGTAAAGTGGTGGATCTATAACCGAGTAATTCTTTTATTTCACTTTAAATATTACATTGAATAACAAACGCTACTTTTAAACTAAATTTATTTGTAACTGATTAAGAGTTATAAAAAACTTTTATTTTTGACAAATTTTAAAAATTTTTAACTTTTACCTTATATTTAATTTCTTTAATTGACAATTCACGAATAAAGAAGGAAATGTATTAAATAAAATACTTTTCGCAAATTATTCCTGGAAACACAATTTTGATAATAAAAAACATAGTAAAATATTATGTATTATTATAAAAATTAAAATCTGCATTCCTGATATTGAAAACCTTTTTTTTATAAACTAAAAGTCTTTTGTAGTTCTAATAAAAATTCTAGAGCTTGTTTTTCTGATTCTAATATTAGTAAAATTATTAATTTAATAGATCATAAAATATAAATAATCTAGGATACTCTTTCTCACGCACATCAATTTTCAAAAACATAAGCAACGGAAAGAAAACAAAAACACAAAGGCTACTATTAAACAAATTTAATTAACTAATTAATACTACTCACAGTAGTTTCAAACCTCTACATGCACACCAGTAGAGGAAAACCAAATAGTCATATATATCTTTCCTACCAGAAGTCAAAAATTAAAAGAAAAATAACAAACAACAACAACAACAAATCTAATACTCTCACGGAGAGAAGCAAGGCCTCTAAGCCTTCTACTAAAGAAACAACTATGGCTCATAACACTAGAAGCAAAAACAATTACAATAACAATCTCACAGAAGAAAATAATAGTAATGTATCTTCTACTTCTAATACTAAATGAAGATGTACAAATTTTTTATCCTAAAATTTTAGAAAAAGTAGGTTATCTAGCTTACCCCTGACAAATTTATCTATGACATCACATGTTATACAATGATCTACAATACAAATACCAAATAACAACAACAACAATAGCAATACAATATATGACTCCAATGTAGACCATAATACAAACTCTGCCACAAACAACAAACTAGTACAGGTGATAAATAGACTATCAACAAATGACAACAAACAATTTCTTGACCAATTAGGCATAGATAATACAAACGGAGAAGAAAATACTACAACATCTCTCAGAACCTCTAAGTTATCATATAGCCAAACCCTACAACTTAATATTCAAGAAGATCTAGAATATATTGACTCAACAACAGATCTGATTATAGAAGACTCTTTAAACAGACAGACAGAAGAGATTAGCTAGCTAGACCATATATTAGAAGTACAAGAAAACAACCTAAAGACCAAATTTGAATACACAACTTGGCCAAGAGATAAAATTTTATCAGCACTAAATAACATAGCAGGGATTACTGAATTCTTCACTTACAAGCTAACAACTAGACCTCTACAACATAATATCCCAAACGCAATATTTCTTAAGTTCAAATATCTAGATAAAGCATTCTTTACAACCTTTATAGGCAACAAGAAAGTTATACCAGCTCATCAAATAAAATTTAACAAGCTTATGCAAGATGCAATTAATAATTATAAAGCAAAAAATAAGATCACAATTACAACTAAAGATATACGTAACAACATACAATACAGGCTTCGACAAAAACTTATTATTGATCATATTGCAAGCTTAAATTTTAGAGAAATGGATAACTATCAAATAACAAGAATAACTAAATACTGCAAAAACTTTATCAAAGCAGATACTATTGAAGATCAAAAAGCAATACTCAAAGCAATACAGAAAGCACGAACATCGTTACTCATACTATTACCAGATATACCACAAGAAATCTCTACTGAAATTTCTAACCAACTACCTTTTGCCCTACCAATTCAGAAAAGATCTCAAACAAAAGGAATCGTTAATATATTAAGACAAATCTTTATATTTACAACCTTGCTAATGACATATTTCATTATACTACCAGAACTACCAGCTAACCCAGATAATCTCATACCAGAAGTCAAAGATCTCTTTCCTATTACAAGCTAAAAACAACTCAAATTCTTAAGCTTCTATAAAAACAAATTAACAGACCACTATAACTTCAAAAGGTTACCTAGCTCTTATTTCTAACTACCACCACCAAGAGAACAGCTACCTACTACATACTATGAACTCAATAGCAAAGTTAGATTCTTATTCTCACTAGGCCTAACTAATAGTGAATACTCTATACAAGAGATACGTACAATGCTATAAGAATTCTACATTTTTAAAACTATACCAAATAACTTCTTTAAACAAAAACTATGACTACTAAAAGACCTATCTCAAATCAGATTAAATACTATATTCACGTATCCAATCACTAATAATTCTTAAGCAAAAGAATTCTTGAACGAGGCAAATAAAAAATATAGAGTTCGATTTCCTATTAATGAGAACATCATAACAGCCAATCTAACTGACAAACTTAGGCTCCCAACTGATCCTTAACTCATCTCTAATTACAATTTAACTATTCCTATCATATCATCTAGATAGCTAATAGATATAGTTAAATTACTGAGACAAGATTACTACTTCACTAAACTCCCAACTGAGTAGATCCAACTTGAAATACTACTAAACACGCAAAAATCAGAAAAAGAACAAAACACCCAAATTAAACTACTAATTCCTAATACTCTTGTTGAATTACAGAACTAATTAGAAAAAAATACAGAAGAAATCTATATCTTTCTTCCAATCATATAACAAGAAGATATTACACTAACTCTCACTACTCTCAGAGAATACTTCACTATTCAAAATATTCCAGAATACCTACTCAACTTACTACTCTTCCCAGAACCAACCTGGGATATATTCAATTAAAAATCTCTATAGATATTTACTTAAAAGAAATACCTACTAACATTAATAATACTAACAACCATACTCTAAACCTAAACAATATTAACATAATTACACATAATGTACAGGGCTTAAACAACAAGTTAAAACTCTAGCTTTGACTAGAACACTGCTATAAAAACAATTACCACATTATAAATATGACAGAAACTAAGCTTGCAAAATCTACTTCATCAAACCTTTCATTACAAAACCCATACTACCATATCTACACCTCAAACTGCAACTAAATAACAGCCAAAAAGCAGAAGTCTAGCATGAGCATAGCAATTGCAATTATACCACCCTTAAGACCATATATACACAATATTAAGAAAACACTAGGAACAGCAATTGCAATTAACTTTTTTTTCCCACAAAGATGTCATCTTTGAGTTATCTCTATCTACCTTCTAAATAATAATAACTCAGTCTTGCAACAAATACAAAACGTAATACAAAAATAGATAAAAGAAGCAACAAGCCTACAATATCATATAATTATTATGGGAGATTTCAACTTTGATCATTACAAATCATCTAAAAAGAAACCTACTATCTTTAACATGATGTCTCATTACAATTTAACGAACATCTTATAATACTGCTATATACAAGATCATATCTGGTCAAGACAAAACTTGTATAGCCAGATAAATGATATTTGGTTCTCTAATATACTTATTAATCAAATTTCAAAGCCTTAAATCCTTTCTGCTGACGGAATTACAGATAGTGACCACAAGATCATTCAAACTACTTGGCACAACAATATTTTTATCTCTAATATAAGAAACAAGAACAAAAAGCAAATAATTTTCAAATATGAGAATATGAATACTGATACTTGAGCAGACTTCGCGAATGAAGTTGACAAGAATCTTGATCCAACAAAAATCTCCAATTCAAGCATCCATGATACTCAAGAACTTAACAAACAATAGCATATTTTCTATAATGCAATCAAAAAGGCCTCCACAAAATATATCTCAACTACTAAAATCAAACCCAAAATATATTATAGTTTCTCAACTAAAGCAACAAAACTTCACTAATCTCTTAAATATATAAACAAAATTGTACAAGCTCTTAATCAAACTTCTGAACCTAGCAACAACAGAGATATTCAAAAATTTAATAAGAATATTGAATATATTAACAAAAATACTGAACATACAATTAACTTTCTATCTGTAGAAGATTTTAACACACAAAATATAGGCAATACTAGGACACAGTTCAAACAACTTCAAAAGACTATTCACTAGGCCAGAAAAATCAAAAACAATATTGCTCACAATAACAACATCAATTAATATATAAACAACAGATACAATAACTTTACAAGCAATATAACTAAAATGATTAACAGTATATTACACTGACATACTGACTCAGTAGCAT